CAGCTGGAGCGTCATTTGACTGTCAATGCAAACTCAGGCAAATTATATCTAAAGACAATTACATCTACAGACATTATTCAGATATGGGAAGAAGAAGTCTATCGTTATAACCAACCACACAAACCAGAACTTTTTAACTACATAATGAAATTCTCTTCAGATGTAAAAATCAAATCATGGACTGATCCAGAGTTTTCAGAAAAGTGGCAGCCTGAACTAACACGTCATTTTGAGAAACACGGACGGGGAAAAAAACAATATGCATTTGCTGTTTTTTTAATGGAAAATGGGGAATATTCAAATACTGAAAATGTTTTTCCAAAATATCGACACAGCTGCATTAATTTAGAATATACATTACACAGTGAAGAAATTTTAATTGAACCAATAGATGAATTCTTACATAAGGAAGACAAGGTGAAAAATATTTTGATTTATACCCTCAACAGTCCATGTTTAAAAAGGGAGGAAAATATTTGTTCTTGTATGAATAAACTTTGTGAGAAGGCTGATGAATGGTACAGTAAATATGGAATTACTACTGATGTGGCATTCACAAAGTTCTGGGGACTAGGTGGGCCTAATTATTTTAAAAACCTCACCGGTTCCACCTTCCAACATATAATAGAAAAAACCCCAGATTTCAACGCTGCTGTAGTTCAACATTTTAACTCCGACCTTTCTAGTTTGGGGAAAACCTACCATTTACGGCTTTATCGCATCCCTTAGACAATGTTAAATCATGGTAATGCAGCCTATTAGAGCAGAACTAACAGCAGCTTTCAACTCTGCAATTGTTAAATGTTTTCTAAATCACCTTAAGTTTATTTTAGAGGAAAACAGCCCTTTACAGTTTTACCACACTGATCATCTTTAACCTTTGTAATGGAAAATTTGAGGGAGCCGGAAGGGAGGAGACCTCACTAACCTCACCCCCACAACTTAAGTGCTGATTGGGCGTGCCCGCACTTGGAGCTCCGATATACGTGAAGAAGGGAACTGAGTTGTGGTGGTTAGCTCTACAGTGAGGCAACGACTGGCACAGCTGTAATTTGAGCACCAATTACTGTTGTAAATCTTTTTATTTTTTCTGGATCTTGGTCTGCTCTGTCCTGAACTCATGGCAATAAACATTTTACAATGAAGTCTGTGTGGTTTGTGCTTTGCTTTGTTAAATCATTAAAGTGCTCTGGTGTTCGCCTGGCACCTCTAAAGACAAAACTGGACATGCCAGTAGATGATATGGAGGAAGGCCAGATAGTGTTACTGGAAAACAGAATGCAACAATAAGTTTGATCAAGGGCCATTGTGAGCCTCCACAGTCAGCCCTGTTGTTGGCAGGTTTAAATGTACAAGAATAAAACTCTATTAAGAAAACAATTTGTAGCCCAAGTCTACTGAAAAAGAATTATAATTAAAACTGAAATAACAGGAGTTACACGTAAAACCGGAAAAGGTTCATCTGTCATTGTGCTCAGGTGTGTGAGGGGTAGTTCTTTGGCTTGTCCCCAGTAGAAGGTGTAACATTTCAGAAAACACACCATATTTAATTTATTAATATACATTGTTTCGAAAATGCTTGTTTGGTGAAGTGTATTCTTTTTACTGTTTCTGAAATGATACAGTGCTTTCTACTGCATTGTTGTACACACAGTTTTTAATGCCAGGTGAATGTGAAATGAGGAAGTGAAACCTTCTGCTCATCTCAAAGTTGAAAAAACAAAACAGGAGCCAGACAGACAGAGACACATTTTATATGTCCTTATTTTAACAAAGTGTTCAAGCTTTAACTGATACTGTTCATTTTTCCAAATTGCTTTATGAAACTGCTGATATCTGGACACCCACTGTGTCACCAAATGAAAATGGTACAGACTTAAGGAATTAAAAGGGTGCAGCTAGAACTGACAGTTTGTGACATCTGGGTACTTTCCACTGCCTCTCTTTAAAAAGCAGCTCTCTCTCACACATTAGCCAGTTCACATGCAAAATATATCCGGTATAGGACATATGAAGTAAGAGATGAGGAGGAAGACAGGAAGGCGATGTGCTGCTACAAACACAACGTGAAATTCTGTACTGCCTATAGGCTAGTATATTTACAGTGTATTATTTATAAGTGTGTTTTTTTCTTCTGCAAAGCATTCAATGTTGCACTTGGTTGTAAGTGTTAATGTTCGATCAGCTACTGACCTCATTACTTTTAAATCATTGCTTCAAACATATTTATTTGCCTTGGCTTTTAATACACAGTAGGGCCTGATGGATTCCTTTTAAACTTAATTTATTTAATGTCTGTCATCTATGTGTCTGTGTTATTGTGCTGTTTTTTTTGCACTGATTTTATTTATTTCTATTTTAGTTATTTATTGTGATTTTATTCTGCCATGTAAAGTACTTTGGTCAACTGGATGTTGTTTTTAAAGTGATATATAAATAAATTTGATTTGATTTCAGCGATGTGCTGCTATGAACACAACTATGCTGGAATTTGGTTTTGTGTCAGTGTGACTAAAGTTCAGCGGACAGAGGGGACTATATACATATATATATGTATATAGTCCCCTCTGTCTGCTATACTACAGTCCTCCTGTAACAAACCACGCACTGAACTTCTTAAACTTCTTAATTTATGTAGATCTGTCAGATTGGCGTAGTGCAGTAAAAAGTATAACATTTCCCCCTGGAATGTAGTGAAGTAGTGAAGGACCTAAGCGTCCTGCATGTTCATTTCTGAGGAAGGGTCAAAGTCAGAACTACCTTTAAAATATTTATTACAATCTTGATGAAGAAAACAATATTCAAGACAAGCAATACAGAGCTCTGGATTCCATCTCTTTCTGAAGCCCCATCACACAGAAGTATAGTGCATAGCTGCTGCAGGAAGGCAGAACCCCCAGTTTCCTCTGCATAGAGAACTTATAATAAGAGTCATGCCTCGTTCTGACCCCTCATTTGGTGATCGCCAGGCTTTCGCCAGGCAGATTTTGATCGGTGACATTCTCAGTACAATCATATCCTGACCTTTCAATAGACAGTTTTAGAGGAAGCACCTCTAGTGTTGCCATGCAACCGTGGTCTACTTCCTGTATGTGTTTTCCTGCCTACTCTTACAGCCTTACACGTCTCCTATATTCTTACAGACAAGTGAACTGGTTAAAGCAAAAGTAAATCATAAAGCATATGATACTATTACAATGCATATGATACGAAAATAAACATGTAGATATATTTGCTAATGCAGATTATAATGTCAATCCTAGTATTTCATATGTTGATAAATGTTGATAATCTGAAGCCAAGACAATCAGACCTTCCCCCCACAAACTATTCTCGTGCAGACAGTTTAGTCATCTCAGTATGTATCTGCAAGACTTCCTGTTGCTCTGAGTCTCTGCACCTACTCACAAGCATTTCATGGGCACAGGTCAAGTCTTTCCAAAGGTCAAACAGATTAACAAATTATTTGAACAGTTTTGCAAATACATAACATAGCACTATATCATTTTATCAAGAATTTCTTTCCACAGTAGCATGATAAGAAATTAATCGAGTCAACTAGACTACTAAGTACCTCAAATTTGTACTTAAGTGCAGTACTTGAGTAAATGTATTCAGTTACATTCTGTTTCTGTTACTTATCAGTAATCACTTTGCATAAAGGTAAAAAAAAACATGATGAGATAACTCTTTTGTGTTATATGTTGCTGTACAACATATACATTTTGTATTTTACAAAAAGAAACAACACATTTATGCAAAACAAAACATAAGTAGTACAGAAAATACTGCACAAGCTCAGTCTACAGCAAGTGACTTTAATACTTCTGTGATTTGACTGTTGCCTAAAATAGCTGTATGAAGACACCTAATTGGGAAAAAATTCAACTGCAATCAGAAAACCACTACAAGGTGCATCTACAAGGAAGAATATACATTATTCCAATGAGCACACAAACTGAATTAATATAACCAGGAGATGAGTTTTCTTGTCTTTCTGGAGACATTGGAATCATAGGTGATTAAACATTTAAAACAACGTTGGAGTTCAAGCACCAGTGGGCACACAGAGCTGTCTGACACCATCTGTCATTACAGACACGTCCCAAGTAAAAATAAAATATTGACACTGGTGACAAGTTTTGTGCCAACTGTTGTTCTTTGGACTGTCCGCAATAAAAAATACTCCAGGGTGTAACATTTCAGAAAACACACCATACAAATGTTGTGTATTTAATTTGTTAATATTGTTTTTAATGCCAAGTGCATGTAAAATATGCTTATAGGAAATGCTACCTATATATGGTCATTAGGGCTTCGTAAAAAATCGTTCATGTAACATCATCCATATGAATAGAAATAGAAATAGAAATACAAATACAATTATAAATTACTGTACATATAACCACCTCGACTCAAGAATGCCAGCCCCTATTGTAAACTACTACAGCTTCTATTGACTAGAATTATATTCCTTTACAATTTCTTGTTTGGTGAGATTTATTTTTTCTAAAGAAATTCAAGTTTTACAAGTACATACCTTTGTACTGCCACTCGGTGGATCTATCTTGGCCTTTTATTATGATGTAAATCAGACAAGATCAACTATAAGCGGACATAAACCGTTCGAGGTATATCAACAGGCTGTGTGAGCTCCCGAGGACCATACTCACTTCCTGGTAAGCAGTCACTTTTTGGCAGATGCATGTAATCCTGATGTGGTGCTCACCATCGGTGCTGACAGTTAGGACTAAACTCAAGTATTTAAAGTGTTATCTCCAGTGTTAATAAAAACACCTGCATATGCATAACAATATGTATTTTTTTTTGCTTTCTTAATGGAAAATGGAGAATATTTGATTATTCTGAACAATCTTCCAGCTCACAGCCAACAATTTTGAAATAATTCTCCTGCTGTTGCTTAAAATGGTTTTAATATTATGTAGATTTACTAGTTAATATTTCTGTATCTATTCTGCTTTTTTCAGTTTTATATTAAAAATGGATATCTAAATAGAGCTTTTCAAAGTGTAAAATTACAGTAAGTGTTTAGAGTTACTGAAACATTACATTATTATTTAAGGATTTTTATGACATGTTTATTAACCAAAACCAAGATATAATAAACCTGTTTTTTCTCACTGAGCGGGACAGACACAGTTCCAGAAATGCCTGACAGAGAAGAAACATGTTCAACCAGCTCCACTGAGCTACAGCTCTTCTCACCCCAAAGGTACATGAAATGAAGTTTACTCCATTTACTTCTGCCAACTATTAGAATAATTGACTTAACATTAACAATATTTTAATAATAACTCACATTTTAGTTATGCTTAGGCCTCCCGCAGCTTTTGTTGGCTTTTCTTAATATTGTTCTGTCAAATATTATGCATCACTTTGCAGTATGGTACACATAAATCGTATGTAATGATGAGGTACTCATGAAATAAGGAAGTTATTAGAGGAGTACTTATGAACGATGCAGCTCATTACTCATGTGTTACTCATGTGTCCCGCCCTAGGTTTTATAAAAACTACACACATTTTCGTGTAGCGTATTGTAAAGTGTTACCAACTATTCTTTATTTTTCTAGTTATTACCAACATATCCTTTAAAATGTGATATCACTACAACCTACGTAATATTTGACAGCTAACCCAACTTTGTCAAAACTCTGCAGACCTCTGTGTTACGATGAAGTGCCCAAGAGGATCCGTCAGCTCTACCTCTCTGAAATCAGCCAAGACTCCTTTCACCAACAAAACCTTCCTTGCACAAAAGTTACCACACTCAACAAGGAAGGAACACAAATTCTGTAAGTAAATCTGTCCCATCCTCTTTATTTAACATTATTAAATTGTATTCGTTTATCAACTAAGTCAGATAGAATCAATTTTATTTTTCTTCAGCTGATTTTAATAGGTCTTATTTGTAGTTAATACAAACATAAATTCTACAATATGACCATTAAAACAATGTGTCACCACAGCTTCATATTTTCCACCTTATTTCCACCCAGCTTTGTCAAAACTGTCTTCAAACCTCCATGCAACATGTCACAAGAACCCAAATGGCTCCTCTGGTGCTGTGGCTTTGTTTTTGAAGATCGGAAACTCTTCTGTTTAATTTCTCAATCCAAAGTTAACCACCCCATCAGTGGAGGAGCAGCTATATGGTAAGTAGTAAACAGAAAATCTGTCCACTCTTTGGAGGATTCAAAAAGTAGGACTTATATCACACTGACTCTTTGATTTGAAAGAGATATTGAATAGACAAAACATTATTTTTACAAGCACAGGTTCACCTTACTCACTCATGTCACATGCATAATTGCATAATGACTCTGCTGCACATGCAGCATACATTCTGTTATATTCGTATATTTTATTATATTGCTGCATCTGTTGCTGCTTAAAGTGCCTTAGATTTTGTGTTATTTATCTACTTTATATTTCATGTGTATTTTGTGGCATTCATGTAGACGGCAAAGTAAGAATTTCATTGTACAGGGAAACACGTTTCCTAACTGTGCATATGACAAAATAAACACTTTGAACTTTGTTAGGAACAGGAACAACCTAATACAACAGAAATGCAGCAGTGTCTTTGTAAACCTGATAATGGTTGACTGACTCCATGTTGACACTGTCAGAGAAGGAAATAGTAACTTAATGTTTTGTTAAACCCAGTTACCAACAATTAGAATCATCCTTCAGGAGGATTTAATCCTAAACAACACTAAACTAAACACACTTACAATACAGTATTTTAGCTGTTTTTATTGTAAAACTCTGTGTATTCAGCTCATGGATATTCTTGCAGCCAAACAGTTAAATAATACAGTTTTAGTATGTAATTTTGTCCTGTGACTTCAGTGACATTTTTATTTTTCAGGGAAGAAGACCAATGGCAGACAAACATTTCGTCTGACCTACAGAAGAGCAGTGATTTTAAATGTTTCTGTCTTCAAGATATTGTTGACTTTATTAATTTTGAACATTTTACATTACTTAACTCCAATAATATAAATACTATCCAAACAACATCTATTCCAGATGAACAGTGGAGCTCTTTCTTATATTACTACTATAATGTACCAGATCAAAAGACAAGTCAACATGCATTTGCTATTGCTTTTATCAAAGACAGTACTCCTGTGTGTTGGTATGAAGCAAAATATAAAAAAAAAAAAGATCCTCAATCAGATAAACACACTGAGGGGATTCTACTTAAAAAAATGGATCCATTTTTAAAAAAGCATTATAAGGACGGTGGAGCTGAAGTAGAAAGGATTTTATTTTATACTAAAAACAGCCCCTGTTTCAGTAGCAATGAAACAATGGTTGTGCCTTGTATTTTTCAGTTGATAGAAAAAACTGTAAAGTGGCATCGTAAATATGGAATTTGTATGGATGTATTTTACACAACACCTTGGGGACCAATTGAACCAACAGGCTTTGATTTTCTCATGTATTCTGATATCTCACAGCCTGACAATATTTTTTATCCATATTATGTAAGGTACATGAATGCCCCTTATGAACTGGACTGTAGTTACTCAAATGCACAATGTAACAAATTAAAAACTGAAAGAATGTCACCCCAAAATATAAAATTAATTAAGAATGTTAAGCACAAATTTATGGAACTGATAAAAAATCCCGATCAGAAAACTAATAAATGTTTTACTATTAAAGAACATTTGGACCGTGGACAGAAAGTAATTGAGGCACACACAGATCCCCCCGAATTCAAAAATCAAATGTCCAAGATCTGGCACGATGTGATAATGCAGCCTATCAGAGCTGAACTAACAGCGGATTTCAACTCTGTTATTGTTAAAATTTTTATAAACCACCTTGAGACTATTTTAGGGGGAAACAGTCCTTTAAAGTTTTTTCACATTGGTCATTTGAGGGAACCAGGGAGCAAGAAGGGAGGAGACCTCACTAACCTCACCCCCACAACTTAAGTTCCTCGGTGAGGAGGGAAAAGTGCTGATTGGGCGTGCCCGCACTTGGAGCTCCAATATACGTGAAGAAGGGAACTGAGTTGTGGTGGTTAGTTCTACAGTGAGGCAACGACTGGCACAGCTGCCTAATGACTACAGAGGCATGACATCGCTGCAACTCATGAGTGGTTCCCTGCTCATTTGTATCATAACAGTTCCCCCATTATCCTATCGTTTCAACTGGCAAATATTACAGGATCGCACTCAACATAGAAGGCTCCAGAAGCATCTTACATTTTACATTTTTATAATTTTTTATTTAAAAAAATTAACATTTTT